ATTTTCAATTTTTTATATGTAGATGCTTTAAAGGGATATATGAGATAAGGCAGCTAAATAACTCTTGCATGATCCATATTTCTCATAAATTGGCTTCACGTAATATACAAGGTTATTGGTTATACTTCAATATATTATATCTGTAAATTTGTTAGGGCATCAACACTTCGACACTCATGCGATAGCTAATACTTGCAAGGATTTGTTATGCTGTATTCTTAAATGCATTTAACAAGGGGTATACTCATGTTGTGCATTGTTTGACGATTTTATATAAGTTTTCAATATAATATTATATTTGTTTTTTGATAAGTATCATAATTATTAATATTTTTTGACATAAATTCCTATTGTGAGATATGAAAATGTAAATATAAATATAAAATATATAACTAATTATACTAAAGGAAAAAAGTATTAAAGTCCAAATTTTATTCCTGCACAGGGTATTTCCTAGTGGAGCAACTCTGGCACAGCATTTCTGCTTCGCTTTGGGCAGCTGCAGAGGAAGTCGTCCATTGTGGGACCTGAAAATTATTTTGCCATCTTTCGACAACTTCTTATCGTTGGCTTAGGTGTCCTGTCTGTTTCCCGATGCGTTGTCTGGCATAATTTATTTGCCATAAAACATGAAATAAAACATTTTCGCTCGTAAATTATGAATGAAGTTGAACAACGAAGTATCGAAGTCGAAAAGTGAGACACGCATAACAAGAAATTCAATTCACAGATATGTCAATTGGGCATACATATAATAAATATTTCCTACGCTCCCTCAGCAGCTCAGGTAACATATTATAATTCCAATTAAGCAATATTTACATATGTGCGATACGGCAACAAGAGCAAAAATATTATGCAGCAAATTTTGTACCTGAGTGGCGAGAAATCAAAAGACCTGCAAGAGCTTATTTATTTGCGCATTGGAGAGACTTCCCAGTTCTCCGTCAACAAGCAGAGAAGAAGTGAAACATTTAAATGGCTTTTTTTTATAAAATGCTAAAAATAAATCAAACGAAAATATTGTGTGTATACAATATTTATATTTATATATACTTATTCACAAGCAACATCAGCTGAACAATATGCGCCAAAGGTCAGTGACAAAAACAGAAAAAGCCAAAGAGAAATTGAGGCTGTTGGCATGCCGACGATTATATACCCTGTTTTAAGGTGGATCGATTATTTTTACAGCTATAGACTACAGAAAATATGTTCATATAATATATATGTAAATTAAAAAGTAAAGAAAGAAGAAGAAAATCGATGTTAAGATTTTTGAAATAATAAAAATTTAAATATAAGAAATATGAAACATTTAATAACTTTAAATTAAGTAATATGCTCTGATGTACTCTAATTTTTTGACAATAGCACTATATTTATTAAATATTTTGACACTATAATTCGATAATATTTACGAGCATATTTTTTTTCTAGCTCGAAATGGGCAGGCGGATATTTCACAAAACCAATATGCTCATTTTACTATCGTGAATGAGTATAATGATAAATCTTTGATATTTATTAATTTTAAACATATGTAAGATATCAAAAGGTAAATGAGCTAATGCAAGGTTACACGACAAGAACAAAAAACTGAATGAATAGCGTTCAGAGAGACAGCTAGACAGAGTCTGTGTCCATATTCTCAGCGAAGTTTTCATTCATGCGTAGCAAATGCCGTGACGAAATTCGAATACCTTCCATAGAGTATATAGCTTATTAAATGGGAAAAATGTGTGTAGCTTGTGCCGTAGAGCGCCGAGCGGATTTGGGATACTAAAATTAGTCGTCATTATTCTTAGATTTAGGCAAGAATTTGGCGTAAACAATTTGTAAATATTTTTATGAATAAAAAAAAAAAAAAAAAAAAAAAAAAAAAAAATATGTTGGCAGGTTGCTTGGCATTTAGACTACAATTATTTGTGAATTAATCAAAATTAAAAAGAAATATTTGCAATTATTATGCAAACAATGGAGAGAAGTAAATTTATTTAAATAATATTTATTTGCAGTGGGAAAACCACTTTGACGGCTGGCAAGAATGTGTAAAGAGTCGCAAATGAACAGCAACACATGTAAATTAGCCTTCAGATTTAGCGTGAGTTACAGAACCTTGAATGACTTTTGGCCAAGTTCGAAAGCAGCTGCCAGAGTGTCAGCCAGCTCACCAGCCTGCTGGGCATACGCGGCGTATGCGCAACGCGGATTTACTTTACAATGTCAACAGCGACAGGAGTTGTCTGCTTGGTTGCTCACATGTCGCACACACACACGCATATACACTCACACTCACACACGCAGAGTCAAGCTATGCCTAAAAGGTAAATAAAAAGTCACGGGAAGGCGAGTCGTTGCTTGAAAATTCCACAGAATTTCCTGGGCTCTTTAAGAACGAGTTTGCCACGAGTTGGTGAAATTGGTTAGCCGCCCAGGTAGCAAACGGCCTTTGTTTATGGTCACATGGTGTGCCTTCTGAAGGAGTGGCGGGAGCCACTATTCACATCACTTTGCCCGCGCATAAAATGTGTCATGTCATGTGCTTGAGAAGTATGAAGCATAATGCCACCGAAGTGAGGAAACGTGCGCGTTCACCAAAAGAACCCTCCCGCATCGAGCCTAAGAGAATTCGCACAGCAGTTGAAAACGAGCTCAAGTGGAGTTGGCTGCTGCGACAGAGTGAGAGAGAGCTACAGAGAGAGAGAGAGAGAGAGAGAGAGAGAGAGAGAGAGAAAGTAAGAGGAAGGGCACACAGCCAGTCGACAGGCCTTAATAAATAAATCGCAGCTGCATCACTTGACAACCATCATCGTAGCCGTGGGCCTCTTGACAATATAACATGTACACATACATATATATATATATGTATATATCCCCGATGTCTGGTGTTTTGCTGTGGAACGCGCTAAGAAGATAACAGAAATTAAGTAAGCAGCTCGCGGTAGGCAGCATGTGTTAAGCAGCAGATGAATAACTGAGCAGGCTAATAGCACAGATTGGATAAGGCAACACAGACACACACACACACACATACACACATACGAATATATATATGACACAATCGTGTGCTAAATAAGATTAGCCAAAGCACTTGAGTTCGCATCGCTGAATGTTGTGCAAATAAATGCCAGAATGGCTTTTAAGTATTGTTAAGAAATTACAATGGCCAACAACTGTTTACTGTCCGCATTAAGCCTTGTTTGACATCAAGATTCTACTTAATAAGTGGAATTTTAATTGTTATTGATACAAACTGGATGGGCTCTTCAATGGAACTATCAAAGAAAAGGAATGCAACGTTTAAAAATAAATATATTTTGATGCTCTTGTAATTAATTAAGTTGAAGATCTGTAAAAGAAGAAAATAAATATGATAAATATAAGCAGCTCTGGCTGCTTGAGAGAAAGCTTAGCTGGAATTACCTATATCTGAGCTGATTGATTAGTTGGGACCTGAGCTGAGCTATTTATTGAGTTGAATGTAATGCGCTGAGAGTTGATTTTGATGTTCAAGTCAGGAGCTTGATTCGATTCGCCAATTGAAGAGTTCAATTATTTAAATTTCCCTGGCTTAGCTGCTTCTTAGAAACATGAATAACATGAACAACATCTTGTGTTTGTTGCGCTTAAGCGATTGTAACTGGAGATTAGGGAATAATATTGAGTGTATACAAAGTGAAATTTGAGCTTAAGCTGGTAAATTATTTATCTGCATTATTCCCATATTTACATCTTGGCTTTRAAATTACGCTTTGTTAACATAATAATATATAAAACCATAATATTTCAATATTATTAACAATATTTTAAGCATTTATATACTGTAATAAAATACAATTTTAAGGATAGGCTGTCAATATATTTATTTTAATTACATTTATTTCCGGACAGTGAAATATATATTTTTACTTTACATCAATTTTAGTATAAATTTACTTCCAGCTAAAAACAATCACATTTACCAATTTCCTTTCTCCGAAAACAAATTTAAATGAAATCATAATTTTAGTATCAATACTCAATATATTCAATCATAATTATGAATCAAATTCTAAAGGTAGGCTGGTAATTTTTTTATTCCATTTAAATTCATTTTTTGTTGCTTTAAATCAAGCAAAACCTTCCTTGCTTCCCTTTTCTGTTTATCAAATTTACTGTGAATTTACCTCCAGTTAAAGAGAAATACGCCAAAAAACGACTAAATTCCATTTTTTTACAGTTCTCAGAAATGAAAACAGCATTGTATCAAATCACAGTTACATAATCATTGAACAAATTCGGTTCGTTATCTAAAAATGCAAAAATAACAAATTTTTTTAAGAGTTCCCCGTAGCAAGGTTTCAGGTACAGCAAGTAAATCAAAACTTCCATGAAATAATACAAAGCATTGCAGAATATTTTGTATATAGTGTGTTGATGCTTTCTCTCTTAATTTGTGTAATGAATATGATGTTTGCTGCCAATTCAAGCGTTTCACAAATTTTACCGTTTATGTAACTGCTTTTCAGCGCGTTGCAAAAAATTGGGTAACTTTTTTACCTCCTGCCCAAAAGCCTTCAATTTGTCACAATATTTACGTAGAAATATTTGCCAGCAATGCAGCAAAAAGAATCACAAGACTTCTAAGAGCTGAGCACTGCATGAAATGGAAAAAGAACTCACTCAATTCACTTAACTCACTCACACTCGCTCACTCAACTCGATTCTCACTCGGCGATGTTTTCGTTGCAGCGCGCAGAGCTCAGCTTCGGGTTGGAGGCAGGGAACTGCATCGGGTGTGCCGATTGCTTGATTGACGACTCGTGTGGAGTCGAGCGCTTATCAGCAGATAACCTGTTGGCTAACGGGAACGCCGGCGTGAGCGTTGCTGCTGCGGCGGCGTCGTGACGTCGTCGTCGCCGTCGTCGTTGTCGGCGTCGTCACACACGGCGTATGACAGCACAGAAAGTGCGAACGCGCTGCCAACGACGAGTCGGTTCGAGCTCGAGGCTGTCGTCAGTTGCTTGTGTTTCCTCGTTGGCGCTGGACGCGAAGCGGCGCATGTGAGATAAACATATTCATACAACAAGAATCAGCTACAAATCTCTTAGGCTCATTCAGACAAACAGAACATTTGACGCGTGTTCGTTGCGTATACGCCGCATTCGCCTAGCCAAGGTGCTCAAGGTGCCAAGACTCGCGCGTGATTCTCGCCCGTGTGACAGCTGAGCGCGAATAGCCAAAAGCGCCACAAATACAAATTCAAGTCAAGAGCAAGTGCCGGTGCGTGCTCGAGTGCGAATCCGCTACGTTACGGTCCATGGCTGGGTTTGCGGTTCCGTTTTAGTTGGCATTTGGAGGCGACGCGTCGGCTGAGCAAAGCAAATACAACTTTTTGGCTTTGACTTTTGTTGAGCTGCCTGGGCCAGGCCTTCAGCTTCAAGTGCAAGTTAAACACGGGCAACAACTTAACCTCAAGCTTCAAATTAATTCGATTGTCTGCAGGTGGGTAAGCGAATTCCGAAAGGAACTTCAACTAAAAGAGTGTACTCGCTAATAAGTTCGACATATTTGGGATGAACCCAGCCCCAGCCCCAGCTAACTGTAGTCCCAGTTTTTGTACAGAGTGTATTCATTACATCCGCACAAATTCAATTTCCAGTCAACTTTTCGGCTAACCCATAAAGCAAAAAAAAAAAAAGAGAACAGAAAAGGAAAAATAATACTGAAGAAAAGTTTTATTTGTACTCAAAGCGGCACCGACAGCAGACAACTTTCATTTCGGCTGCTTGTTTAGCGACACAACAAACAAGCCAAGAAAAAAAATACAGAAACAGAAAAGAATTTCAAAAAGTCCCATGTTATAAAAAAGTCAAGTGCATCTGGGCCTGGGGAGGGCAAACAAAGGAAATGCGTGAGGAATGAGTTAATTTCTTTTTGATACGGTTTGTTTTTCCTTCAGCTGTTTCTCATTCTCAATGAGCTGCATTCCAGACAGCGACCGTACTTAATTAAATATGCAAATATGCAAATAGTCGGCATTAAGGGGTATGTAAGCGTCGAGCCAATTGTTATTGCAGTGTCAAAGTTGTTGCAAATGAAACGACAATTGAAATGCTTTCAATATGTTTGATTGCTTAGCCAACTATTGATTTGAATTTGCTCCAACTGACAGCAATGTCATCAATTGTAGATTTGAGCATTTATTATAGTGCAGCACACACCCACACACACACACACTCACACACACTCACACACACTCACACACACACTTTGCCTTGATTGCTTTGTCTTTGGCTGTCTCTTAATTCATACGGGTAACAGCTTAATGCTCAAATGCGCAATGTTTTGTTAGAGTAGATAGGTGTGTGTGTGTGTGTGCATCTGAGTACGTGTGTGTGTGTGTGTCGACGCAGTCCCAGTCTGCTTAATAGTGTTTAATTTTAGAACTACTCAGGTTAAGCCCTCCCCACACGTCGGATTGCTCATGTAATATCAGTTATAAATTAAATGCAATGACTCTGCAATTATTTTCACTATCAAATTCAATGTTTCATTTGCATTTATTATATATGCATTAGAATGGAATCATTATATTTAGGTTTATAAATAAAGTATAAGTAAAAGTTATATAATCAAAATAAATCTATCAATTGCTTTATGGCTGATTGCTTAGTAAAAAAAAAAATAATAATTTTCAAATATTCTTTGCTTATTTCTTATTTCTTACATTTATACGCTAAAAAAACAAAACTTTTAATTAAATTTAAAAAAAAAAGAATGGTCTTGGGCTAGACGCACTCGTACTTTCGTTAATATATGTTTTTAAACTTTTATTTGGAAAGCAACTTTAAAAAAGTGAAAAAAAAAAAATGTTAGATATTCGATGACTCTTCAAGTATACAAAAAATAAAAATTTTGAAAAAAAGAGTTCCCATGTTAAGTCTTCTCCAGCAAACCGTTTTAGCTATATCTAATACGAAAAAAAAAAATGCATGAAAGTTTTTTGCCTTCACTCTTTGATTAGAGAATGTTCTTTTTAAAAAAATATAGTGAGTGCTATTCAAAAAGTGAAAACTTTTCTTTTGTGCTATGAATTTAAAAAAAAAGCTGTGTTAAAAATGAAAACTTTATGCCTTAGTGTTTGTGTTGATTAGAGATAAAAAAAAAAATTGCATTAAAACGAGCTCGAGATGGTGAGACTAAAGGAAAGACAAAGAGAAAAAAAATGAAAAAAACAGAAAGTGTGAGAGAGAGAATGAGGGAGAGAGGGAGAGAGAGAAAAAAAAACTGCAGCTCGATATATTAACTTAAAGATGTGGAAATATAATCAGCATAACCCTAAATAAAGTCTGCCTATTTTTGTTTATTCCTGTGCTTTCATTTGTTTGGCAAATTAATTTTGATATTTCGTTATTATAATCACTATAACTGTAATTGTAGTTACAAATTACTTTGGCTGTCGCATTAAGAGGGCGAATAGTATAAGGCATTGGCAAGCAGCAAGTATGAGTGCTCTGTTCAGAAACATCAGACTAGGAGATACCCTATAGGATGTGCATCTCTTATTGTACACATATGAGTATCTCATTTATCATTAAGATTTACTATAAATTTATTATTAGTTAAAGGTTTTTTTTTTTTTTTATAATAAAGACAGATTAGAAGAAGAAGTTTGTTTTAATAAAAGGGAATTATTAATAGTTTCTTTATTTCAGCATTTGTGATTGTGTTCAATAAACTAGTCAAATTATTGCTGATTTTTATTTATAAATATTTATACTTTTATCAACAAATATATAATTAAACAATTACATGAGTTACATATTCACAATATTTARAAATAATTATATTTATGTACAAAATATTTAAATCTGAAGCTATGCAGTAGTAGTCGTGTTTGAAGAGATTACTGTATTTATACAGTCCAGAACAGGCAGCTAATAAGAGGAAGGGAAGAGACAGACGGAATACAAATGTTATACTTTACCTACCTGTTACCCCAATTAAAAAAAAAAAAAATTTTTTTTCTCAGAGCTCCCATTTTTAATGGACTTATTGCATTATAAATGGAGCCTTGAAATTACATTCAGTGAAACTTTATTTGCTCTTTAAAT